ACACAAAAAAAAGGTGAAAATCGTGTCAATAGATTACATTAATTTCGTGACTATTAGACGAAATGCCGTGAGAGTGGGTTGGATTATCACGTCTGCAGTTCTCTCTAACTCTCATGAGGGGTTCAGACACTTTGAGCTCATGGTTTTCTCGTTAGAACTTTACTGTTTCAGTCTCACCACGGTCTTTAGTGCTGTTTCTAGATGACGTTGGGAACAGTATTATCCCCCCAAAACACCAGATCACCGGTGAATCAATTTTTCGATGTTCTCCCAAGTCTTTCTACTTTTATAACAGTGCCAAAAGATTTTGATACGAATAGAAAAGGTATTTAATAAAAGACAAGGGAACATTTAGCACTCTAATTAGGATTAGATTAGTCTGTAGGTTATTTGGTTGGTGTTAGGTGTTTTCTAGCTTGTACAAATAGTTATATAATAAATGAACTCCCTCCAATTCTATACGTGTTCGTAATGTAAATACTTTCTGTTCAGCGTCTATTGTAAAGCTTTAGACGGCTTATCAGTGGCCCCATTTCACACGATATGTAAACTAGCGCCTCGTTTTTTTATTCAAAACCTAAAACACTGTAGTGATCTCTACCCACCACACATATCACATACCCCTTCTAGCTCACTAATATACAGTATTTTGCACATTTCTGCACACCCCTTCACTTTTAAATATAATACACTGTACTGTCATATATTCATTCTCCTTTTTTTGTTTTTTAGGTATTTAGTTTATTTTAATTTGGTGTAAATACTTGCCTAAAATACTTCTTAAAAATACTTATTTTTTCTTAGATTGTTTATGTTTGCACCACCAGACTCAAAAGCAAACTCCTTGCATGTACCTGGTAACAAACTTGATCCTGATTATGTTGACTTCAGCTCTTATGACATGTACACCATTCAGCTCTGTAACTGGTTTTGAGTATAATGAATAAAACCCCTCAGGACTCACGCTCTGCCCCCCCTCCACAGAGAAGGAGATGTCGCTGAGGACCGAGCGCCCGGCCTCCGTGTATTTCACCGTCAGGCCCTGGACTTCCATCTGTCCGCGGCTGGGCCAGCAGTCCTCAGCGTGAGGGTTATTGATGACCAGGTCGGGGCCTCCTTTACCTCCAGACTTCCCCGGCATGGGCTCCTCTGGCGGCAGGTCGATGAACCTGAACACCCGGTCCACAGAACGCATCTGAGAGATAAGGTAACGTTTATTTATATAGCATATTTTAAGACACAGAGGCAATTCAAAGTTCAATTGAACACTTAAAATTCAACACTTAATAAGAAGACAAAAGTCTTGCACTAATGTACATTCTCAAAGATATTGAAGTGGCTGTTTTTTGGAATATCCAAACATTTCCTTAATTTTTCTTGTAAAAGTGCAATTGTTCTTATCTTATGTCCCAGGTTTCACTCTATCGTCCCTCTTGAATAACCCTGAACAATGTGTACATATTCTACTCAAATGGACCTCATTGCTATAACAACACAGCTGTTGCCGTTTGAAGCAGAAAATATATTTGCGATGAAGTGATCTTTTGTTAGAACCTTTATATCTTAATAAACCCTTTTAAACACTTGGATTTACATGTTTTATTATGTTGATCAGTTTAAGGAATAAGAACTTTGTGGTTGAAAATTAGATTTTAGTAGCGATTCACTTTTATGAGTTTTTGTAAGTGTGTGTGCGTGTGTGTGTGTGTGTGTGTGTGTGTGTGTGTGTGTGTGTGTGTGTGTGTGTGTGTGTGTGTGTGTGTAGTAGTACTGTACTACTACTTCGTACGTCGTCGTACTAGTTAAGTACGTACGTACGTAGTTACGGTTTAATTTAAACGTAACGTAGGTTACGTTCGTTACCTTACGTAGTAGTACGTAACGGTAACGAGTACGACGATGTCCTGTGTGTGTGTGTGTGTGTGTGTGTGTGTGTGTGTGTGTGTGTGTGTGTGTGTGTGTGTGTGTGTGTGTGTGTGTGTGTGTGTGTATCTTTAAATTAGTTTTATGGCATACGTACTGTACATTTTGTTTTGTCGTTTTTAAACATACTAGGACTAATATTGCTTTTTATGACATATACTATCTCAATGTATTTCATCATATTCAACATTATTTATAAACTACACTATGAGTACGTCAATAGTACAATGTTGTTCACCTTTCATGTAAAGCAGTTTTCAAATGTTTTTAAATAATCTTTGTGTTAAGCACATACCAGTCCATCCACAGTGATGCTGGTGATGACGGCCCATTGGAAAGTCCCCAGGATGAGCATAGCGAGGGCCACGATGATGCCAACCTCCCCTGGTTTATCCTCTGAGAAACACACACAAACACATACACACACACACTCAACAATATTGTCCAATCACAGCTGCTCTCTGATGTCACAGCAGCAGTCAGGTAAGAAGCTCTGCGACTCGCTCCATTGGAAATAATGAGCTGTGAAATTACCCTTTAATCTGCTCCTTACATAAACATAGGCTGTGACGCAACAACACATGTTTATATATGTGTGTGTGTATGTGTGTGTGTCCTATTCATTTAATTGAACACACACACACACATGCTTCCTTTCCTACATGACATTTTATCCGGTGGCATTCCAACTCTTTTGATCAGTTTTCATTGAAAGCCTGTGTGTTATGATCCTGAAATCTGACGCTACACACACTGTAACACACAGATAAGACTCTTCTCCACTCGATACACTCAGAGGAAATAATAAGGTGTTTACTGACTCGCTAACGTACTGGAAATTCAACATGGCCCCTACAAACTGCTGCTTGATTCCTTAAAAGGCTTCACCGCCAAAATGACATTACCCTCATTTATAGAGGTCAGTTTTAGTCAATTTGCAGAATAAATCCATGTTTTTCTACTTGCCTTATAGGGTCAGTATTCACCCACTACTCATTCATGAATATATATACTAATGTATATTTATTTACTATTTTATAACTTCATTTATGTAAAAAAAGCCATAAAAACACCCTGTTTTTGGATTTAAAGGATAAAATAAGGCGTTTTTCTTTGTTTGTTCGTCACTTATACTGCCTGTAAAGAAAAACATTTTGACTAAAGTACATACCTACGGATAAACCAAGTCAAGAAATATAAGTTACTATTTAAAGGTAAGCTTATTGAATCCAATGTCATGCTGAGAAAAGTCTGATTACCTCATAAAAACGCTGAATGTAACCGTGCAACCCTTATATCCGTTTCCCCTCCTTTCACTCACTGTTGGTTCCCACGGCGATGAAGGCGGCGGCGCTGAAGAAGAGGACGAAGATCATGTCGCAGCGGAAGAGGAACCAGCGCAGCGTGGAGAGATAGTGGAACCAGGCGGCCGTGTGAGTGTTCAGCGCTTTGTGGAAGAGCGTCTCGAAGTACGTCTGACGCCCGAACGCTCGGATCGTCCACAGCCCCTTCAGAGAGATGATGAGGTGGGAGAAGATCGGGCTGCGAGCTGAAGGAGAGCGAGAGGGAATACAATATTACTTTAACGGTCAGAGCACAACACGATCAGTGAGAGAAAACCTGCTCAAAGAGCCTTCAGCGTGATCTGGATTCAGCTCTGTATTTACTGAGAGGATTGACTGGAGCACGAAAGATGCTTCAGTTTGACTTTATTGTTTAGGGTCATCGAGAGAGTATTTTACAATGTTTTAGTTTTTTTATCAAGTGTAGAGAGAAAGGACAAGTGAGCACATATGGCTCTGATTAAGCACAACGAGAGATGTAAAAGTGAAACAGGAATCTTCTGTTGCTACTGAAAGCTAATCAGAGCTGGATGAAAAAAGGGGCAGTAGATCCAACAAATTACAAATGTTTCCATTGTAGGCCACCATTATTTTTTGTTTAACATTAGGCTCTTTCACACCGGAGTACTTTTCCCGTTTAGTTCCGATAGTTCCTGGGATTTTGCGTTCACACCAAAAAGAGAACTTAGTTCATGAGAACCTTTCCCCCCTTTTCAGTCCCTGCTAGAGATGGGACTATCCTGGGGAGAAAAAAGTTCCAATTTCTGATTGGCTGGACGAATTGCAAACCACGCCCCATAAAACTCGGAAAAGTTTTGTGAAGCCGCCATTTTATTTGCTGGTATTAGCATTATTAGCATTAGCATTAGCCCCGTGCACCAACGGAGGGAGAATAACTTATGGCAACTCAAAAAAAACATGGGAGCGGTGGAGATGAGGAGGTGTCGGTGTTCTGGCGATTTACGGTCCGTCCACACGGCGGCGTGAGTTGAAGCTTCAACGCTTCTGCCCATTCACTTTGAATGACGCCACGCTTTGCCGAATGCATTGTGGTTCCATTCAAAAGTTGAGCAATGTTCAACTTTTGAAGCTTCGACGGAAGCTTCAGCCAATCAAATCTTATGCCAGTACAAGCTCTAGCCAATCAAACCGCTTGTCTTATCACTCACTGGCCCCAAAAACACAATGTTAATCTTCTGAGTAGCTCATAAGATCTGTACAATAACTAGCCCTTTAACCATTGACCACAAAAGTACTGTAAATAGCACAACCTATGTAGAATAAATATCACATACAAATATCACCTTGTGTTTTGTTTGATTTTTCTTTTCTTCTTTAACATTGTTTTATTTGTATTGTTTATAAAGGTGTTTCTCAATGTCAAGGAAGGATGCTCCAAAGCCACTATTTCAAGGATGCTACGTCATCAAGTGCCACCGAAGGACTGT